TCTAATGAAATCTTTAAATGTAACTAATTATGAAAAGTTTATTGAGTCGTGCATGTTGTTTTATTTCTGCTTCATGGCGGAATAATCCTTTAAAATGATCAAATCCATCTGTCGTACCCTTCACTAACCTGTCTGCGCTCTGATTGGTCGATCAGCTCACGGTGAAACCAGAGCGGGGCGCTTCCAGAATGTGACGGAGCTGCGATTGGCTGGTTTGGATCTGACGGACGCATCGTCTCGTCTGCTGGTGCGTTACGTTCCTCACCTGACCAGGTTAGACCTGAGTCAGTGTGGAAACATCACAGACCAGACGGTTCTCACCCTCTCCTCCCCCATCTCCCCCTTGAGAGAGAGCCTCACCCACGTCAACTTGGCAGGTAAACAAAACCTGAGTCTGAGTCGGGTTTAAACCAGACTCATCTGATCCTGTTCACGAGTCATTGAAAATAAGCTTTAATTTCTTATCGTTACTAAATTTACTGTTATTATTTATTTATTCTACAGTGGATACTTTGATTTAAAGTATTTTACAGTTCGTCTAAATCTTTTTTCATTTATAGTTCATTTTTATTTTTACAGTAAACTATGGTTAATTGTTTTCCAGTTCTTTTTCCCACGTGCTGTTGGTGCCTGTACTGAGCCACCTGACGGGTGTGTGTGTTTCAGGTTGTGTTAAAGTGACGGAGCAGTGCGTCTCGTTGTTGCGTCGCTGCTCGTCACTGCAGACGGTCGACCTTCGCTCCTGCTCGCTCCTCTCGTCTGAGACTGGACAGCTTCTCTCCTTCCCCTCCCACAACTCCTCCTCCTCTTCCTCTGCCACAGTCGCTGCCTCCTCCTCCTGCCCTCCTGACGACAGAACGCTGATGAAGAACAGTTAAAGTCTGTGCCACCTGACAGCCCCGCCCCCCACCTCCTTACACTACAGACAGGGGAGGAAGAGGAGGATATATTTTTGCGATGACATTGTGGGTCATAGTAAAACAATAGAAACTCTGAGCATGTACATATTTGTTCTCTGTATAATTCTGGCTGTGTGTAAATATCTGTAGTTTACTGTAAATTACCTTTAACCTTTGGACCCCAACACACTCCTCCCCCTCCCTCCTCTCCGTCTATCCTTCCTTCTGTCTACCCTGCGACCAATCGTCACGCTGATGTCCACCTGCTCGTCCGCAGCCGCACGACAGGATGTTCACCCCCGGACACACCCCCACAGGAAGTGAGAGTTATAGGTTGGGGACCGTATCGACTTATAGAAAAGTTGCAGCTAACAGTTTCCCTCCGCTTCCAGTGTTTGTGCTAAGCTAGGCTATCTTGAGATCTGGTGCAGTTCAATGAGCGGACGAATCACATTCAGATGATCCTGATGTGTCGCACCTCAGGTTCCTGTTCATGTTGCTATCACGTGATGTCACCTGGCCTCATGCTGACGGCCCGGCTGTTTCGGTCCGAGCTGCGTCTGTGAGCCAATGACCTGACTTTCCGTGTTCAGGTGGAACTGGCAAACGAGTTTAATTGACATCAATCCTTTTTCATTTCAAACGAAAGTGACCAATCAAATGAGAGACTTGGCATGTAGCAATGGTCCCTGACTGGACGCTCACTGGGGAAGTCGTGGTTGAGAGGTTGCCACCAGGGGGCGCCTGTGAGCCTGTGGTGGATGTTGTTACATCAGTTTTTCCTGCAGCTTGAGAGATGATGTACATACGAAAGTTTAGATATGTTTATAGAACAAAAGTATCAAACCTGTGCAACACGTTGCCACAGTCGAGTCAAACAAGTTCATTCATGAACGTACCTCATCACTTCCACCATCCAATCAGAGACTGAGCGTGTGCGTGCGTGTGCGTGCGTGCGTGCGTGTGTGTGTGTGTGCAGTACGAGCAGGAGTTCAAACCATAAGAAGGGACTGTGCTTTATTTGGATCGGCCCCTCATCACCTCCGTCCTGCAGTCAACTTTCACAAGCTCAAAAAAATAACCTTCAAAGCTCCGCCCACAGTGACATATAGCTTTAAAGTTGTTGCTATGGTTACATCTGGAGTTCTCCAGCCTCTGGATCAGAGACTCGTGTGAACTGATCTCGTTTTATTTTGAAAACTCTGGTTTTGTGTTTTAGTCTGAACACAAACTGAGACTTTAGGAAACGGTGACGCCCACGTCCTCTTCTGATTGGTTCTCATCAGTCACATGACTCGACTACCAGCGGTGAACACAAAGCGTCGCTAACACTTCCTGTCAGTGACAGCTCCACCTCGTCCCTGCTCTGACTCTTCACCATCACTGCTCCTCCTTCAGAGGAGTTTCTGTTGCTAAGCAACCAACTGCTGAGGAGACAATCTACTTCCTGTTTACATTACATGACCAGTGGACGTGAACGGTCATGTGACCTGTGTTTTCAGGCGTGTTGGTGTGTCAGAGATTATTACTCATGCGTCTCTGAAACACTCACCTGAACAGAGGTTTTTTTCAATTTGAAATGAAAAGGAATCGGTGTGGACGCAGCCTGAAGGGTCTAGATTCACGGTGAGGGAGGTTAGCGCCCCGTCTGGTCACCTGACATGTCAACAACCTGTGCGCTCTTAACCTCCACAGGTTCCCCCAGTGGTGAACGTTGGAGTTGTTCTGTGCTTGTGAAAGACAACGTTTTCCCTCTGCTACATTCTTTGTGCTAACCTACGGTAGCAGTTTCCCCCTGCTTCCAGTCTTTATGCTAAGCTAACTGGAACAGATCCATCTTTGAAACATAAATTGTGGGATTGTTCCTTTAAACGACTCGCTGGCTGTTGAGTGGGCGGCGCCGCAGTGTGGTTCAAGGTGTGTGTGTGTGTGTGTGTGTGTGTGTGTGTGTGTGTGTGTGTGTGCCTCCACGTCTTCAACATTCGCCTCAATCACTCATGTTTGTTCTTTGTTTTTTACATCTGCTCTGTTTCCCTCCATCGTCGCCTCCGATCAGATTCTTCATCATTGATCGGTGATTGATTGTTTTTTCTCAGGAGTCTTTAGTTTTTTCTTTACGTCAGGTTTTTATTTATTTTTTTCGTGTCAGCTTCCATCCTGCTGAATCTGAACTCGGATGTTTCACACTCGTCAGTCTTAAAGAATCTGTCTCTTTCTGTTTCTACGCGATGACATCACTTCCTGTTTTGCTGCATTCTTTAGATTGAATTTTTTTATGGAAGCTCAAGTCTGCCCGGTAAAAGAAAAACAAAACAAAGAAGATGAGAGACATATTTTCATATTTTAATTCCTCATCTTCAGTTATTGTCTTTTTAAATAAAAATTATTCAAACTTCTTAGTTTTACTTAAATTTGAGTCAAAAGACACAATTCTGAATTTTCTTTTGTTTTCATGGCTGAATTGAGCTTCTGTAGAATAAAGGGGCCTCGCTTTTGAAAAGTTCACCACAGCATAAAAATCTTTTAAACAAAATCAAATTATTGTTGTGACGCATTAAAGTAAGAAAATATGAGACGGGATGCGGTCGTGAATTCAGACGTTTCATAAACAACGAGCCGATGTTTGTGACGTGATGGAAACTCTGAGTCACAGCGATCTGATTGTTCACGTGTGAACTGGCTGCTCAAAATGCGATGGACTACAGTCCCCAACCAAACAAGTCTCCCTCTGCTGGCCGACATAATAGATAACTGATGCTACGTTAGCCTCGTTGTTGCACCACATCCGCTGCTCTGTCGTCAGACGACCTGAAACTCGACAAAACATAAAGATGAAATTATTTCCTGAAAATGGATGCTCTTTAGAGACCTGTGTTACAAGCATGATAGCAATCCTGGCTAACATGCTAACAACACAGATTGAGATTATGTCGAGGTCTGAAATAATCAGTTGATCAATTGTTTTGTAAACAAAGTTAAATTGAATTGACTACCGCTTTGAAAATGGATCAACTGTTAAAAAACACTTTGGCGATGCCGTTGGTTCAGTTGATTTTCTTTATTTCGCTCTGTTAATCATAAAAGCTTCATACCATTAGTAGTTATTGTTCATTTTAATAATCGTCATCAACGGATCATGGAACCGGAGCCACAGGGACCCCTGGTGTTTATCTGCAAAATAACCTCCATAGGGAAGACACTCCCATCTGCCGTCTGAGTTGAGGATGTGGGCCTTTCACATGGGGGGGCACAGGGCCCGTGATTGGTCCATGAGGTCGTAAAGAAGCAGCAGGTTGGTGTTGACGTGTGACATAGTCCATGAATCGACACCATCGGTGGTTACAATTCAAATAGCCCTCACGCCGTGTCGACGCCATGTTGTGCCATAAACTCACCAGATCCACGTGTCACAGTGTAAACATGTGAGTGGGTCAGTTTTTATTTTTGTATTCTGTTGTGATTCATTTTTTTACTGTAATGTTTCGCTCTGTCCCGCTGATGATGCTTCACGTTTCACCTAGCAGCAAGTGAGGAGATCAAATGGGATTGGACTATAATCTCTGACTCCTGAAAGCTCTTATCCAATCAGATGTCTGACATATCTTAGTAAAAAGTGAGCGGGTGTTTTAAAGATGCACTGGATCATCATCATGTTTTGCCAAATGTACTTTTGTTGTGAAAATGGGCATTTTAACGTTTGTTACTTTGTTTTGTTCCTTTTTCTTCTTTGTATCGATTCTTCTGTTGTTGATGAAAAAATGAAGAAGTTGAACAAAAAGTAAAAAGAGACAAAAAGAAAAACTCAAGGCAGCTACGTACGAGAGACTACTGTAAAACCACCGACCAATAAAGAAGCAATGGGTTTGTTTTTACATGTGTTTCCTCATGATGTCACAGCTGCTCCAACCAATGAAAACACCTCAACCAGCCAAGTAATCTATTACCAGTTCTGCACAGTTGTAACGTTACAGTGCCTGTAGTTATTTACAGTTACTGTAGTTATTTACAGTTACTGTAGTAACATGTAGTAACGTCTATCTTCAGCATAAAATGTAAATATTTAACAAATAGGTGTTTTAATCATCAAACTTTCAAATCAGTTCAATGTTTCCTTCAAAAATAATAACTGACCAATACATGTGGCAAGTTTTATTTAGTTATAGACTTTATTTATTCCCATAAACCACATGATTAATGTAAGAGTTGTAGAGCAGTGCTTTACAAATAGAGTTATTATTTGAAGAAATAAACTTCTAAGATGAAGCAG